AATTGCGAACTATCTATTTGGAACGATTGTAAGACATTTTTATACACTATTTTATTCCAACGCATGCTTACAAATGTTTGGTATTATCTGACAGTTGGGTAAATAACCAAATGGAGAATTAAAATATCCTAATGGTGTCTAGAGCTGCACTTATAATCGAACCCTTGATAGCTATTATAGTAACTCCTTTGAAATTTAGAAACTTATTTTTGATGAATAATAAATATACATTATTTGAATATAAATTACATTGATATTTTTTTAATAATTGATTAATTAATATACACAAAAATAAAAAAAATATAATTGAAGCTAATAACTTAATTATCATACAGTCCTACTGCCCGCAGTATCATACCAAGAATGCTGGTTGCGTTTCTTCGCTGAATGGCTATACATAGCCTTTAAGCAAGAAAAGAACCAGTCGTCTTATCACCAGCAGCAACGACCAGTCGGGGATAGAGTTCCTTTAGGAACTTCACCGCACGTGGACCCCACGGACCGATAGTCTCTACAGCAAATGGCACAAAAATGTAGTCATCTCTGAGAGACTCATGTTTGCGCCACTTACTCAGTTCAGCTGCCTCTGATGCCGGCCCGGCTCTAAACGAGGTACCCCTGAGATGAGAGGCCGCCAAAGTGACTATGCAAGTAGCATCCCACACTAGCTGCTCCACGCTACGCCACTATAGAAAATTTATAGAGACAAGAGCCTTTCGGATGACTTCGTTCAAAGAACCGTGTCGTGAAAACCTACCAGCACTTTTCTTGCATGAAAGTCCGTGGAGCACAAACTTGTCGACGCTGCTACCACTGGGACACTAATGGGGTTGACAAAGCTCCTAGTCGGATTCCTACTGCGATGCGTAAGCTTTCCCCATCAAGAAATGCGCCGAGATTACTTGATGGTAAAGCGTGTAAACCAGTGACTAGATTCCTTATTTCTATTTAAATACGGTATATTGTAATACTCGTAGTCCTGCAATGCCGAAAAAAATGTGTTATTCTGTAAGCACCTTAGTTTAGCAAATATTATTTCAATTTACAATTTTAATTTTTACATTCATTGCATTTATAATTTAAAATTTTGTATAACCGACATCAATAATAATTATTAAGAATAACTCATTAACTATTGGTCAGACCTTGATTAAATTTATATGGGACAACATGAGAAGCACCAGCTATTAAATAAAAAAAGAACATACAGTCGAATTGAGTACCTCCTCCTTTTTGAAGTCGGTAGAAAATAGGATGATAATATAAATATTATTCAAAGTTGTTTTAATAAACGCGTCAAGGGACCTTTGGCCTGTTAAAGCCCGAAACATGAATTTTATATTTTAATTTAACTAACACGGTTAGAAGCTAAGAGTATGACGTTGAAAAGGTCAAAACAGTAACTACTGCTAACAACTTCAAATAAATTGTGAAAGTTATTTTATAGCCATGTAGATTTTGGCTATTAAAATAATTTAATAAATTAAATGTTAACGTTATATATATATGATAAAATACGATACAGAAATCGGATTGGATGCATATGCGGTCTTTTAAATCCTTTATGCTTAAATCTAATAAACACCGTTATGTTACCGTTACAGCCTATTAAAGTCCACTATAATCAAATGCATATATTATATGTATACATATACTGCCATTAATAATTAAACTGAGCTTATTTTTGATTGTTATACAACTAAACATGTTACATTCGCACACCTTGTAAAACTAATTTTAAATTAAATACTGCGAATAAGTGTGAAAATATTTATATTAATATAATGAAACAAGTCAATTGTATGTCTATTTGCCCTGGCTTACTTATGGTACACTATTTAAACATATGAATTACTGTAATTTTTCAGCACTATTAGCGCTTCAGATGCTTTTAGAAAGTACTCTCTCTTGGAGTATAGTTAAAGTCGTGTAGTTACCAAGTGTGGCACTACCGCTCGTTGTCGCAACTAGGCCGCGCTTCCAGCGAACGGGTCTTGACTTTTTGTTCATGATGATGCGGAACAGAAGAGAGAAATTTGGCATGATAAAACAGCACTTACTAAGGAGGACACGGTCACGAGGAGTCATCGGCTCCAAACACGCTGAATGTAGAGCGTGCGGAGTATTTCTCCTTGGGCAACGAAGCAACCTGTCTGCCATGTGCTATAACCCGCCCCAGGCCAAAACACGAAGCTGGTTTCGATTTAAAAATGTGTGCATAGCGTACGTTCAAATATTGTTGTGTGCCATCCGCAGAATCGTGGTAACTATTACGTTGTATTGTACGCCTTTTAACTACGTAGCTATTCAAAATAAAGCGATGGAAACGGTTTCATCGTAGTCGTTAAACGCAGCCACGTCCACACATGGCTTCGATCGCGTTGTGAGATAACGCGGGCTCGAAACGAGCTACTTTCTTCTGCGAACGTGATTTAAGTGACAAAAGAATTGTTCGGATGAGAAATGGCAAAAAATGCCGATTATTTTTCGAAAGCACACCGAGTCCTTATGTAAGAGTTCAACGTGATACTTTGTGGGAAGGCAGCAAACAGGCCCGTTCAGCGCGCCACTTACATTGCGTCCAAATATTTGTTTGGCTCTGTATGCTTTAAATTTCATCCCTACATTTCAAATACGTTGAGCATATTATGCCCGTTGCAGATGATTATTCTTAGGTCATTTATTTATTAATTTTTTCAGCGTTAGTATTAGGTGAAGTAAAACGCCGGTAGCCTCAAAATTTAAAGTATGGATTTTGAACGTAAAAATTGTAGTGTGAAAATGAAGAATTTTCTTGCTATTTCACTTAATGATATTAATAAATATACTGTCTGAAATCTGGATCAGTTAATTTAAGTTACTTAAAAAGTTTCAAAAGATTTTAATAAAAAAAAATATAAAATTGAATTATAAATAAGTTATATACGAGAAAAAAAATTATCTTTTTTATAATAATAAATATTCACAGTGCTGGTATATATTGGCACAACTTTATAACGATTATACTTAGTATTCTTGCCGGGCAACCAAACAGCGACATATCAGTTGGACCTGGATCTATCTATTACTCAATTTAATAGACAAGATTTGGCAGACTAGTAATTTTGACCCATATTTGTAAAATGAATGCAGCGTAGTTTTGAGGTAAAATTTTATAGATTTGATACACATGTAATAAAAAGAAAAAATCGACTTCAAAACAAAAAAAATTATATCCACATAAAAGCTTCTAAAGGCATAGAGTATGGAAAAATTATTTATTTTATTTATTATTGTGGATATTATTTAACTTTGTTATTAGTTTGAAGTCGATACGTTTTTATTAAAAGTTAAGTTTTTTCTTATAGAATAGTGAAAAACGAGCACACGGTCCTCTTGATGGTAGGTAGATGCTGTGGCCGATAGACATGTACATCTATCTTCAATTAAGAATCAAATGCAGATTCGTTTATACCCTTGAGGACACAGATGGAATGACTCATTTCCAGCAATAAGGGTGTTCGTTTTTCGACACTCACCATCACTCACGCAACACAGCAGTGCTATTTTATGCTGGTATTTTATGAGAGCGTGGTCCTTCCCCGGTCGAGCCAAACCATACGTGCTACAATCATAAAATAGCTGCAGCTTGGTTCTACCACGAATAAACTTAATTAATTAGTTCAAGATTACAACTAGAATATCGTATACATAGCTTCAGCCGTTTCTGAGAAACTGGTGAACACACATAAAAACATACAAGTTGAATATAGAATTTTTGATATCACCATGATAAAACATCCTCAGATTCAGGGCTCAAAATGAATAATTACCTAAACAGCACACTGGTAAAGCTTTTGAGTCACCTTCTTTACATCCCTTGGTAATTGGCAATGGGTAAAATAATCAGCCGAAAGGGAAACAGTTTTCGTCGCCGAAATTTTTCATTCGAGTAAGTCTTAAAAGCATATTGGAAAGAAATAGTGTTTAGAAAATTGGCTCGAACGCACGAAACTTTGTGTTGGTGCTGGTGGACAGTTTTATGAGAATATTTAATAATAAAAACTTTTAACTATAGAACTTTTTCCAGTTTCGCCAAACTTTCTAGATGGCCTACATATTCTTATTTTATGGAATAAGGGTGACAAACGAACACATAGATCTGATGGTAAGTGGATGCTGTGACTCACAGACATCTACATCTATCCTCGATTAAGAATCAAAATGCAGACGCGTTTTTACCCTTAAGGACTGAGATGAAAATACAGCAGTATTATTCCGCTGTTTCATGCTAGTGTATCTCTCATAAAGAGAGCGTGGTCCTACCCCGGTCAACCCGACCCATTTGTGCTAGAGCCGTAAAAGCTGCAGCGTGGCTCTATCACGTAATTTTTTCCATTTGTTTAGATGACGATATAAAGATTTTTTTTAAAATATCAATGCAAAGTTAGAGACGGCTCTGTCAAGCTGTTTGCTTATATTGTTTTCGTAGCTTTCTCTATTTTATATTTTTATTTATGTCTACTTAAAATATGCACTATAATCCGGTAAATCATTAGTTAGGGATTTGTTTCACATAACTGCTGCACTTGAGTTAAAAATAATAAACATTTTTTTTAGTATTTTAAAATTGAGAGAGATTGAATTAGAAAGTAGAATAAAGGCTTCAGTAGTAATTTAAAGGGATAATCTTGTATTGCAATTCCTTTTATTTCAGAATTTATTTATTAATTATATAAATAAAAAGGTTGATTATAATTAGACATGGCAGTTGTTGATATCGTAAAATATTTAGTAACGCCTACTCATTTATTTCTAATGAATTGCCAGAAGATGTTTGTATTTGCGACAGCGGCAGCAATGTGTCGAGTGTCGTTCGAAGAAGAATCTCGCAATGACAGCAGCCGCACCATTGGCAAGTTCGTCGACCTCTAGCTACGCTTTACATTTTGCGAACAATGATTTGGAGTGGCGAGGTGAATGACCGCGCGCGGAGGGGCTGAGCGTGGGCAGTTATTGACCCATATTGGAGGTGAAATGTAGATCAGTGGGCGAGAGCGGCGAAATTCGCCGTGGAATCGAGTTTGTGTACGGCACAGCCATCGCGTACGCCTCGGCGCTGGGCAGGCGCAGATCTCGCTTACGCTTGCGTCTTCACATCCAATCTGTCCATTAATTGATATTTGTATAAAGTTGGTCAGTTGTTAAATGGTTAGTGTTCGTTGTAACGGTTTCGTTTTAAGGTCTTAATTTGCTAATAGTCTTGAAATGATAATTAAGTTCGCACATTCAGAAACATTAAAAAAATGTTTCTGTTGCTGCTTTGTAAGTGTTACGTGGATTGATTTATTGGAATATGGAATCTAAGATATGTAATTTATACTTTTAAAGGTAAATAAGTCTTCAAAGGTTTCGTTTAAAAAATCTTTCTGGGTTTCTATCGTGCAGAAACAATAGGTTCAACTTCTTTTTTTACTTTCAAAATGTCTGACCTATTTCGACACGTGTTCGAAATGGCCAGCCAGTCCAAAATTTACGGCTTTTCGGAACCGTTATACGGCTCTTTGTCCTGCCTCAGACACATAAAAAGTTCTGAATTTCCAAATATCCCATTAATAACTTTCCAAGTATCGTGCCTTAAGATGTCGGAAAGAACGAAAAATCTATAAAAGAATAGTTTTAATGTTAATAAACATAACGTTGCATAATTGTATATCGTGGAAATAGAAGTAACCCATTTAATAATAATATACTTATATACTTTATTAATTTAAAAGATTAATTTCATAAGGCAATAAAAGGGTTATTGCATATTATTGCTAGCATCGAGTTCTGTGAAGTTGTAAAATTCTTTATTATCTTTTCGAAGGCAAAGTAACTGCGTATACATATGTATATTTATTTAACTGTTGTTTGATACATCGAAATTAAAATCGATATGTTAGCTCGTCAAGACCAAAGCAGTTTTATTTATGTAGTATATAATAAGTGTACCGCTGTTGTTGGTAACAGGACGTGGCTTAAGTCACGATCGCACCAGTGATACTTTAACTTCCGTCCACAGATCATAGAACTATTGTTTCTATGATCAGTGCTTCCGTCTCATGCTTGCCAGTTAGCAGCGCCATTAGATTTTCTTTATTTTTTATCCAGGACATTTTTCACTGTTATATGTAGCAATGCTTCTCTTTCCACATATAATATTAATGTTGTCGCAGAAATAGATGACATTTATAACAGTATCTACTTAAGTGTAGAAGTAGAAGTCCAACGAGTGTCTGATATAATTAGGGCTGGCAACTTCTTTTAAATTATAAGGTGGAAAAAAACATATAGTACCTTTGTTTCAAAAGATTGAGTGATAGCCTGATAAGACATGGAGGGAGTTGATGGATGCAGGTGGTTTGGAACCTTGTTTTTTTTTTGCCATAACTTGGGGGAGGCATATGCTCAGCGGTGGATTGTGAAGAGTTTTAATGATGATTATGTTTTAGATGAATATTTTATTTTTAAATGATTCATCTAAATGCTTTGAAGCTTTATAATTACGGTCTAATGCCATAGTAAAATATAGGAGTTTCGCCTACGTTATGTATCTTTTAATTAGGTGTGAATTTACTTAGGTGTTCATTCAATACCTTAAATGGCTTAAATGTCATTATCACTACAACCTTTTTTTTAAATAATAAATTATAGATAAAAATATATGATAAAAAATAGCTTTTTTAATCATATATTTATGAACTTAAAACAAAAACAATAAAGAGTTAAAATATATAAAAGAGCAACACATTTGACTGTAAGAAATTTATCCCAAGAGTTCATCATTGGTCACCAATAAAGAAGCAGGTAACAGTTGCATTATAACCTCTGAGAACGTAGAACAAATGCCTCACTGACTCTAATAATGTTAGCTCACGTATCCTTCAAACCGGAACGCAACAGTAGATACAGTTGTTATATTATACTATAATATTCCATATTATTGTTAATACGTAAGAAGGTGGTATCGACCTAAAGGTAATCCTAGGCAGAATAGAAACCTTAAACTAGACTTAAAAGAACGAAACTTTAACCAGTAAAAGTCGGTTTCATAGGACTAAAAAGAATAAATTTAATTGTTTATAATCGTTAAATGAAACTAATTTTTTACGGATTTTGTCGCGTTAAATTTAACTTTTTTAATTCCTATGGGGGGGGGACTGAGGTGTTTAACGGTGTCATAGTTAGCCCGGCTACCTTCAGTTTTTGAATATTAATTTTTGGTCCGATCTACGCAGAATGAGCTTTTAGTATCTTGAAGTCTTGCAGTGGTATGCTTGAGTTTGGATTTAATTTTATTAATTATAGGATACCAAGTAGATGGCAGCACCCATCCATCTTCTCTATTGAAATTGAAATGTTTTTTTTAATTTCAATAGCCTCGCAAATCATCCTATCATTAAAAGTTAAATTAAACGCGATAAAACCGTAAAAATTAGTTTCATTTAACGTGTAGTCTTCGCGTAAATATAAGAAATTATTATTACATAATCGCTTCAGAAATCGGTGCTAAGGAAGGGTATAAAGGAAGGAACGTTTTTTAAAACGCTTCATCCCGTATGCTTAATATCCAATTTTATTATAGTTATTCTAAGATTATTATCAATATTTCACATTTATTAGTATTTGGCTTAAGATTAATATTTTTTTGTGGTTCAGGACCGTGTTTTGTGGTATTCCTTGGGGGAAGCCTATGTTCAGCGGCGGACTTGTGAAAGGATGTAATGATGATGATGATTATGGTGAGTAAGATCACTGAGGACGTCATCTGCTCTACCTCCCAGTGCACTGTAGTTCAGATACCAGACATTCAGATTGGATTTCAAATTTGAAATAATGGGTTAAATTCCCAAACTGGAAAGTCACACCGACAGCAGAATAGATAATTATTATAGTTTTTCAAACGGATTCAAAAAAGGAGGAGGTTCTTAATTCGATTGTATTTTTTTAAGTAAGTATCTTACCTCAGAACTTTTTTCTAGGTGAATCGATTTTAATGATTATTTATTTGAAAGCTGGTGCTTTTCGTGTGGTCCTATATGAATTAGATCAAGATTTGACCAATAGTTTTTGAGATATCCTTAATAATGCGTATTTAATTGAATTCGAATACATTGATGAGGTTTTCATCTTATTTATATTGAAGTCGGTTGTGCAATTTTTTTTATTTTACTAGTTGTCGTAAAACAGTTGTAGTAGCTACTGTTTTGATTGTAATCGTAACGATTCTTTTCGGAGGTATTGTTAGCCCCTTCCTTTAAATACTAATGTAAATTTAAACAGGGACGAGATGACTCTTGTCGATACCAAAATTTTTCTTGGAATTACACTAGACGCGAAGCTCAATGAAGCTCCCATATATTAAAAATAGCGAGCACACTTTGTTTTGCAACATATGTTGTAAAAAAGATTAGAAATCTTGCAAGTGTTGAAACAGCTAGATTAGTTTATTTTAGCTATTTCCATAGCATAATGTCGTATGGTATTTTGCTGTAGGGACACGTGACTGACGCTAAAATTATATTTGTTTTACAGAAGAGGATCATTAGCGCAATCTGCTATTTATTACCTAATCGAAACTTTCTTATGCAATATAGATTATCTGTAATATTAATATCAATTTAAACTAGGAACAAACATAAGCTTGTAATGCCACTTACAAGACTCCACAGAATTAGTAATTCATTTATGGGGCAATGTATACGCTTTTACAACAGAATCCCAGAACATGTTCAAAGTTTGTCAATAAACAAGTTTAAAAGTTTTATTAAAGAAAAACTGTACAAAAAGGGTTATTATAATATCAAGGAATAGATGAATGAAAATAACCCCTGGGAATAAGGTGATCGCCACCATGCTGGTTCTATGAAAATTCATTTAAAATTGTATAAACAAAATTATTGTTAAGTGAAATTATGTTTAAAAAAAAGTCCCGCTGGGTTTCTTCCCAGGACAGAGGTATTTTCCGAACCAGTGGTAAATAAAATAATTACTACTGCTAGTACTGGCACAGGGGGGGTCGTACGAGGCGGCGGCGGAAAATATGACACGTGGGGTTGCGATAGTCGTTGAGAGGATCCGGTAGCTGGGTCTTGAGGTGGCTCTGCACAAGTCCGAGGCCATGCACTTCCATGGTCCTCGGAACAGGCCACCACCGGGATCCTCAGCGATGGTAGGAAGGGTATCCATCGGCGTCGAGTCGACGTTGAAGTACCTATGACTCGTCCTCGACGGCCGATGGAACTTCATTGAGCACTTCCGACGTTTGACTCCCAAACTGGAACGGACCGGCGCTGCCTTCAGGCGGCTCCTGCCGAGCTTGGGGGGGCCAAACGCCACCTGCCGGAGTCTCTACGCGGGGATTGTGCGGTCCATGGCCCTTTACGGGGCCCCGGTGTGGGCGCGTGGTTTGGCGCGGCTTGCCGTCCACCACCTGAACGCGCCCCAAAAGGTGGTTGCCGTGAGAATGGTTCGCGGCTACCGCACGATCTCCCGCGAGGCAGCGTGCCTCCTTGCCGGATTGCCGCCATGGGATCTGGAGGCGATAGTCCTCGCGCGCCTGCACGAATGGCGCGCGGAGGCACTATGCCGGGGGGAAACCCCGCTGCCGCGGCAAGTTGTCGTGCAGCGGACAGACTTCCGGCATGATCTCATGGCGACATGGAGAGAGCGACTGTCGCAACCCCGTGCTGGGCACGCCACTATAGCGGCGATAAGACCCCTCTTTGAGGAGTGGCTTGAGAGACGCCACGGCGTCCTCACCTTCCGCCTGACGCAGGTCCTCACCGGACACGGTGTGTTCGGGAGGTTCCTGCAGCGAATCGGGCGGGAGGAAACGCCCGGGTGCTCCCACTGCGAGGATCGACCGGAGGACACGGTGGAGCACACCGTGAAGGTGTGCCCTGCCTGGGCGGAGCACCGCCGTATCCTCGTAGCGGCGATAGGCGGCGGCGACCTCTCGCGTCCGGCCCTGGTCGAAGCCATGGTCCGGAGCGAGACGGAATGGGATGCAGTCACCACCTTCTGCGAAGCAGTGATGCTAGCGAAGGAGGTGGCGGAGCGGGAGAAGGAGAGAGCAGCAGCTTTCCTTC